ACTCTGCCTGAAATCAGTTCAAAAGAGTTCTGGAAAATTTAATGGCAGCTATTCGTTGTAGGTCCAAATCAAATTTGAAAACAAAAGACTTGGTTTCCCTGAGTTGTGGAAAATCTCAAACAAAATTTCTAAATCAGGACAAATTTGTCAAAAATTCTACTATTAGAAAAATCTCTGAGGAATTATATATTCCTTGTTTTTTTATGAAAATATATTTAATTTCTAATTAAACAATTCTAAAAATGACGACAATGATCGCACCCTACCTTAAAAGTTTCATGGAGCACAAATATTGATGATAATATATCATAAAAACAGGCATTTTCTAGATCTACTAAAAGACTTGACAAATGGTCCTATGGTAGTACTTTAGAAACTTATCCCAGAGTTATCACAAATCTTGGTAAAGTTGTTTACCTGCTACCCGAAGGAGAACTGTTTCCCAAGTTTACAGAAGATGTCAGCTGTCTGCACAGTTTTCAAGAATATAGGGGAGTGCTCATTTGCGTCTCAATATTGACCCATCAGCCATCAGAAGCTTGTTGATCAACTCAACAGAAACAACATCCTGAGCAATAAGCAGTATGGATTTCATGCTTCTAGGTTCAGGGCTCATAAGACACAGAATCAGTGAGGCAATCGATAATAAATTCTTTATAAGAGCGATTGCCTTAGTTATCTTACCACACAGTAACTCTCTACCTTGAATGGCTCTTGGGTCTTGTGTTGGGTGAACATTAATAAAAAAAATCTAAAAGGCTTTTGACAAAGTGTGGTATAGCGGGTTATGTAAACTCACCAGCCATGGAATCTTTGAAAGAGACTATTGAGACTTAAGTTCAACAAGTCGATGTCATAGTCCATCGCTGGAGACGCAGGAAAAATGGCCGGCTCCTTATACTGTCCCAGAAATTGGCAGAATCCACCTGCCATGGCCTCTATTTACAAATGTTCGATCGGACCAAAAAGGGAGTATATCTAGGTTGAAGCAATACAATCCTCACTTTTCAGCCTCGACGGAGTTCAAAAGCATTTACGCGTTCTTGTAGACCATGAATTATTTTCTCCCCTACAACATTGCAAGGATATTGCTACTATATCACTAATTCTATGGAAAATGTTCAGGCGAGCTATATTCCACCAGTTCAGACCTTTACAACTAAGCCCTGTCATGTACCCAGGAGTGAACCATTCTCATTTTCTTTATATTCTATTAGTAAGAAGGAAGTTCCATGCGGATAACTTCTTCCCATGAGCTGTTACTTTATGTAACAGAATCTAGAGAGGATGATTCTTCGACCATTGCAATCTTAACCACTTAGGTTTAGGGTCAATCGTTATCCATAACACATACCATCAAATTCTACAATTCTTATTCCATTAAGTATCCCTCTACTTTGAGTAGGTTTTGGGTCTTATATTCGGTTGAAAATAAAAATAATAATAATAATAATAATAATAATAATAATAATAATACAAATATTTACGGCTTCTCTTTGGTACGTTCAAATTGCCAGTATCGCACTTCTTGTGCTTTGTCACATTTTTTTAAATCATTTCATCACAAGCAAATCGGAAAATACAAGAGTGAAAATCAAGAAAAAGACTGAATATCTATCTGACTGAGGAAAGGATAAAAAGACTGAATATCGTTTTTTGACTGATGAAAGGATAATATAGACTGAAAAAATAACAGATGAAATAGGGGTGACTGAGGAAAGGATAAAAGACTGAATATAGGGGGTGACTGAGGAAAGGATAAAAGACTGAATATAGGGGGTGACTGAGGAAAGGATAAAAGATGAATAGGGATTCTAGAAGACAGAAGAAGACCATTGAGTATTGCATTTACATCTTTGATGATATATATAAATTTTAATATTCTAAATAAACGGAATGGATTTCATCCACTAGGCACCAAGGAAAGATAGATATTAGATTTCACAGTGGAGCAAATATGTTAGGGGACAATGTATTAGAATATTTTTAGAAGTATCGAAATGTTCATTTATCTATTTCTAAAATACTATCTTTTCTATCTATCATAGGGAAATTAAATGTGATTTCCAATTTATTAGCGCAATCTCATCTATCTATTAACGAATCTATCTATCGATTCACCATCTATCTATATAGATATTATATTTGAGAAATCTAGGTCTAAGAGATTTTTATTTCTAAATATGAAAAGAAAATGACAATTTTATGATGGTCTCAAAAAATTAAGAATACATTTACAATTTTAATATATATGCATTTATATATATATGTATGTACACATACACACATATATATATATACATGTTTCATTAAAGATGACAGAAAAGTTACTGGGATTAACGTTTTTTTTATATATTTGTTCTAATAAGTGTTTACTTTTCTGGACACAGAGTGTGTAGAAACTGTCCAAATGTCCTGTAATTCTGAGTGCTTTCGGCTATACTTTTAGCCATTATCAAGGATGATTTTATTTATTTTTTTGTTTTTAATTGGGTGTATGGGTTGTGTATATGTTTCTAGAGCTATAGGGATGTTTTATTTTCCGAACACAGTCAGTATATTTTGGCTGTGTTTGTAGAACTACAGAATTACAGAACATTCAGTAATGTGTTTCTGTGTGTCCAGAAAAATACTTGTTCGAACACAAGAAAAATTAAATAAAAAGTTTAATCGCAGTAGCTTGTCTGCCGTCTTTAATGAAGCGTGTATAAATGATGGATTGCTGCCTAGATACACACACACTATATATATATATATATGTGTGTGTGTGTGTAAGATGAATATATATATTAGATACATACACGTAGAAAAGATAAATTCACATAAACATATATATATAGAATATGCGGGTAATGTAACGGTTATCGGTCAATTCTATTTAGTTTACTTTGGTCTAATTGTCTTGGAAAAGGCATGTATCAATCTTCTTCCAGCTATGGATTAAATAGCAGATCAGACTCTGGCTTCGGTTGGCAGCCAGCCTAGCAGAAAAGAAAATTCAACTCGTACTGCAAATCATTATTTTTATTGATTTATATCCTCACTGGGACTTAACTACTCAGATTTTACCCCAGGATAAAATCTAATTTTGCTAACTCTATATACAAAACGACGAAGGAAAATGTGACATTGAAATGCGAAGGTGCAAAAAGTAGCCTTCAAGAAGTGAAACAATGTATTAAGAAACGGGAAAATTTGATTAGAAACAAAGAAAATTGTTTACCTTCTATATAATATGTCCGATGGATAAATGGTCGTCTAAATTAGGTAAAAATGAAAACAACACTGACATTTCATTTTAAGAGCTATATTTACCAAAATTACACAAAAATATCTTGAAATACTAAAGAGTAAATTTATTCAATAAAATCGTCATTGGCTTCAACCCAGGCCTCCAGACGACTTACCCATCATTTACCCATCACACTCTGAATTTCCTACAACTCTTCTGGTTAGTTTCCTTGTTTAAGTTAGTGAAGGCTGTCATAATCCTTCCCTTCAGTTCATTTTTGATATTACAAGGAGTTTTGTTGTTCTCTCGCTCAACTGCGCCCTACACAAAATAATGAAGGAGGTTATAGTCTGGGGTGTTAGGTGGCCAAATGTAAGGGGTGATATGATCGCAGAAATTCTCTGACTGCCAAGATTGGGTTCTCTTGCTTGTGTGGCATGGTGCAGAGTTATGTTGCCAGAAATAAGGTCCTCCAGTAGCCATCCTCTTGACCCAGGGCAGCACTATCTCCTCAATGTACTTGATGTAGATCTCGGTGTTGAGTTTGAGGCACTGTGGAAAGATGAATGTAGACATAACGTCGCAATCACTAGTGATCACTCCAAACACTATGATGGATATTTGGTTTTCATCACTCTCAGTACATGAAACAGCAACTTGGGGACACAGCATCCTCTACACTGTCCGTAGATTGACACTCTGAAATGTTTGTATTGAGGCTTCCGGTGCGGATGCCAAACAGTACAGCAGGCCGTTTCCAAATTTCTGGTGGAGTGAATTGCCTCATAGTGCTCTTTTTCTCACAGACGGTGCCCAACAAACCCTACTATACTGTGCAGTCGACAAAATCAAAAACAAACAACGCGCATGCGCGAAGTTAAAAATATCAAATGGCGACAATTTACCCATCACACCCTGTAAATCCTACTATCTAGCAGTGAATGCTGGGTAATTTTCCTCACAAATGAAGAGAAGACTTGAGGCAACAGAGATAAGGATGCTGAGAATTCCATGGACGGAGTATTTAGACACGAGCAAGTTTTAAGGAAAATGTAAGCAGAGAGAAGAATTATACTAAAATAGGCAGTTTAAATATCAAAGAGACATAACGAGAAAAGAAGGCCTGAAAACGTTGACACTCACATGGCATATTAAAGACAAGGGGCATGGGAAAACAAAGAGTAACCGACGTAACAAAGTTTTGTAAATGGATGGCAAGACAGAGAGTAGCAGAAATAGTAATAAAACAAATATTGGTAAGATATACAAGGAAGTTGTAGATAGCCATGATCGTTCTTATCCCGAAGGGAATACATCATATAAAAAAGAATACACCAAAGATAAGGAGACTTAAGGAAACACGAATGCTACAGGCGTGTAATTGTTTATATTTATGTGTGTTTGTGTTTTTTAGAGAAAGAATTGTGAGTAAACAGGAATTGAGTCGGTAAGGAAAGACAGAGAGGGAGTAAGATAGATAAATAGAGAGAAAGAGAGATAGATAGATAGATAGATAGATAGATAGATAGATAGAGAGAGAGAGAAAGCGAATAAAAGAAAATTATTTTTTTACGAACATTAAATCTTTCTTGAACAATTGCCTGTTTAAGATTTACTTATCACAATGTCACAAGTTGTTAACTGTATGTTTCTCAACAGTTAATATAAATAATTCTTTATTTACTGTTATAATCAAATAATAATAGGCGCTTTTTAACATGATTTGACCATAATCCTATTTACTTCGGTTGACCTGGTATGGTTTCACGTTGAAACACTGACTCTCGTACGATCACCGATCTTAAGCAACGTTGAGTCCAGTCAGTACCTAGATGGGCAACCACTAGGGAATATCAGGTGCTGCAATCTTGGATATGTATTGTTGGTGTAATGGATAACGAATTGGAATTCAGAGAGGCGAGTTCTAATTCCATTCGGTTTCCTAATATTCGCTTACGTGCCTATACACTTGGGAAACGTATAAATTCACCTCTTCTCCCAATATCGACTACACCAGTGAAATTGCCCGAGGGACGTTCTGGCTTTTGTTAGGAAGCCTTCTCCCGATCATTTTAACTTTGTTTTCCCTTAAAGAAGTGATTCGTTTGTCTCGAGTAATTAAGACCTGAATTCCATGGCAGAGATAAATATTTTTTTACTATCTTGTCTAGTATATTTCAGTTACATCCATGAAAGAGAGAAAATCCACCACCAGCAAAGTTATTTTTTTTCTTCAAAAGTCTCTAGAAATCATTTGCTAACTTAGGAATACCTATTTGTCAATACAAGTACGGATAAAAGTTTGTTCGTAATCACACACACGCACACGCAAACAAACACAAATAAAGAAATAATCAATCTTTCTATTTATTAATTCGACATATTTTATCAATTTAAACGTTATTTTTAGTGGATACACATATTTGAGTAGACGTTCTGTTTATTTTAAATAATATTTTATTACGTCTACCGGCCTAAATACTCGAGAAATCTTATTAAAGAAAATGATATAAACAACGGTTTTTCCCGCAAAGAGAGACACAGATTCGAATACTGCTGCTGTGGAGCGCATTTTTATTCAATAAGGTTTTCTCGAATATTCACACTGGTAGATGAAATGAAATATCATTTGAACTAAACAGAACGTTAATTTTTGATTTCTCTATCGAACAGAGACATGTACTCAATCACGAATATCCACTAAATTTAACGTTTAGAAATTGTTGAATGAAAAAAATATTACTTAAAAATAATTTAAGCTTAATTTACAAAAGTAAAGTTAGCAGATATAGACTTCGAAATGATCCAGCGAGAGACCTGCATTGTTACAAACGATAAATGAACCTTGCTTTGCCTGGCTTGAAGGTGCTTTCTCAGCATAAGAAGGGTAAGACCATGTTGCCTGGCTTGAAGGTGATCAGCATAAGAAGGGTAACTGGACCATGTCTTGCCTGGCTTTGCTTTCTAGCATAAGAAGGGTAACTGGACCATGTCTTGCCCTGGCTTGAAGGTGCTTTCTCAGCTTAAGAAGGGTAACTGGACCATGTCTTGCCTGGCTTGAAGGTGCTTTCTCAGCATAAGAAGGGTAACTGGACCATGTCTTGCCTGGCTTGAAGGTGCTTTTCTCAGCATAAGAAAGGGACCATGTCTTGCCTGGCTTGAAGGTGCTTTCTCAGCATAAGAAGGGTAACTGGACCATGTCTTGCCTGGCTTGAAGGTGCTTTCTCAGCATAAGAAGGCACTGGACCATGTCTTGCCTGGCTTGAAGGTGCTTTCTCAGCATAAGAAGGGTAACTGACCATGTCTTGCCTGGCTTGAAGGTGCTTTTCAGCATAAGAAGGCAACTGGACCATGTCTTGCCTGGCTTGAAGGTGCTTTCAGCATAAGAAGGGTAACTGGACCATGTCTTGCCTGGCTTGAAGGTGCTTTCTCAGCATAAGAAGGTAACTGGACCATGTCTTGCCTGGCTTGAAGGTGCTTTCAGCATAAGAAGGGTAACTGGACCATGTCTTGCCTGGCTTGAAGGTGCTTTCTCAGCATAAGAAGGGTAACTGACCATGTCTTGCCTGGCTTGAAGGTGCTTTCTCAGCATAAGAAGGGTAACTGGACCATGTCTTGCCTGGTGAAGGTGCTTTCTCAGCATAAGAAGGGTAACTGGACCATGTCTTGCCTGGCTTGAAGGTGCTTTCTCAGCATAAGAAGGGTAACTGGACCATGTCTTGCCTGGCTTGAAGGTGCTTTCTCAGCATAAGAAGGGTAACTGGACCATGTCTTGCCTGGGCTTGAAGGTGCTTTCTCAGCATAAGAAGGGTAACTGGACCATGTCTTGCCTGGCTTGAAGGTGCTTTCTCAGCATAAGAAGGGTAACTGGACCATGTCTTGCCTGGCTTGAAGGTGCTTTCTCAGCATAAGAAGGGTAACTGGACCATGTCTTGCCTGGCTTGAAGGTGCTTTCTCAGCATAGAAGGGTAACTGGACCATGTCTTGCCTGGCTTGAAGGGGTGCTTTCTCAGCATAAGAATGGTAACTGGACCATGTCTTGCCTGGCTTGAAGGTGCTTTCTCAGCATAAGAATGGTAACTGGACCATGTCTTGCCTGGCTTGAAGGTGCTTTCTCAGCATAAGAAGGGTAACTGGACCATGTCTTGCCTGGCTTGAAGGTGCTTTCTCAGCATAAGAAGGGTAACTGGACCATGTCTTGCCTGGCTTGAAGGTGCTTTCTCAGCATAAGAAGGGTAACTGGACCATGTCTTGCCTGGCTTGAAGGTGCTTTCAGCATAAGAAGGGTAACTGGACCATGTCTTGCCTGGCTTGAAGGTGCTTTCTCAGCATAAGAAGGGTAACTGGACCATGTCTTGCCTGGCTTGAAGGTGCTTTCAGCATAAGAAGGGTAACTGGACCATGTGTCTTGCCTGGCTTGAAGGCTTTTCAGCATAAGAAGGGTAACTGGACCATGTCTTGCCTGGCTTGAAGGTGCTTTCTCAGCATAAGAAGGGTAACTGACCATGTCTTTGCCTGGCTTGAAGGTGCTTTCAGCATAAGAAGGGTAACTGGACCATGTCTGCCTGGCTTGAAGGTGCTTTCTCAGCATAAGAAGGGTAACTGGACCATGTCTTGCCTGGCTTGAAGGTGCTTTTCAGCATAAGAAGGTAACTGGACCATGTCTTGCCTGGCTTGAAGGTGCTTTCTCAGCATAAGAAGGTAACTGGACCATGTCTTGCCTGGCTTGAAGGTGCTTTTCAGCATAAGAAGGGTAACTGGACCATGTCTTGCCTGGCATTTGAAGGTGCTTTTCTCAGCATAAGAAGGGGGTAACTGGACCATGTCTTGCCTGGCTTGAAGGTGCTTTTCAGCATAAGAAGGGTAACTGGACCATGTCTTGCCTGGCTTGAAGGTGCTTTCTCAGCATAAGAAGGGTAACTGGACCATGTCTTGCCTGGCTTGAAGGTGCTTTTCTCAGCATAAGAAGGGTAACTGGACCATGTCTTGCCTGGCTTGAAGGTGCTTTCTCAGCATAAGAAGGGTAACTGGACCATGTCTTGCCTGGCTTGAAGGTGCTTTCTCAGCATAAGAAGGGTAACTGGACCATGTCTTGCCTGGCTTGAAGGTGCTTTCTCAGCATAAGAAGGGTAACTGGACCATGTCTTGCCTGGTTTGAAGGTGCTTTTCAGCATAAGAAGGGTAACTGGACCATGTCTTGCCTGGCTTGAAGGTGCTTTCTCAGCATAAGAAGGGTAACTGGACCATGTCTTGCCTGGCTTGAAGCTTTTCAGCATAAGAAGGGTAACTGGACCATGTCTTGCCTGGCTTGAAGCAGCATAAGAAGGGTAACTGGACCATGTCTTGCCTGGCTTGAAGGTGCTTTCTCAGCATAAGAAGGGTAACTGGACCATGTCTTGCCTGGCTTGAAGGTGCTTTTTCTCAGCATAAGAAGGGTAACTGGACCAATGTCTTGCCTGGCTTGAAGGTGCTTTTCAGCATAAGAAGGGTAACTGGGACCATGTCTTGCCTGGCTTGAAGGTGCTTTTCAGCATAAGAAGGGTAACTGGACCATGTCTTGCCTGGCTTGAAGGTGCTTTCTCAGCATAAGAAGGGTAACTGGACCATGTCTTGCCTGGCTTGAAGGTGCTTTCTCAGCATAAGAAGGGTAACTGGACCATGTCTGCCTGGCTTGAAGGTGCTTTCTCAGCATAAGAAGGGTAACTGGGACCATGTCTTGACCTGTCTTGCCTTGCTTGAAGGTGCTTTCTCAGCATAAGAAGGGTAACTGGACCATGTCTTGCCTGGCTTGAAGGTGCTTTCTCAGCATAAGAAGGGTAACTGGACCATGTCTTGCCTGGCTTGAAGGTGCTTTTCAGCATAAGAAGGGTAACTGGACCATGTCTTGCCTGGCTTGAAGGTGCTTTCTCAGCATAAGAAGGGTAACTGGACCATGTCTTGCCTGGCTTGAAGGTGCTTTTCAGCATAAGAAGGGTAACTGACCATGTCTTGCTCTGCCTGGCTTGAAGGTGCTTTCAGCATAAGAAGGGTAACTGGACCATATCTTGCCTGGCTTGAAGGTGCTTTCTCAGCATAAGAAGGGTAACTGGACCATGTCTTGCCATGCTTCTCAGCATAAGAAGGGTAACTGACCATGTCTTGCCTGGCTTGAAGGTGCTTCTCAGCATAAGAATGGTAACTGGACCATGTCTTGCCTGGCTTGAAGGTGCTTTCTCAGCATAAGAAGGGTAACTGGACCATGTCTTGCTTGGCTTGAAGGTGCTTTCTCAGCATAAGAAGGGTAACTGAACTTTGTTTGGCTGGGTTGAAAGTGCTTTATTAGAACAAAAAATGCTACTGGACCATGTCTTGCCTGGCTTGAAGGTACTTTCTCAGAACAAAAAGGATAACTAAACATTGTTTTGCCTGGCTTCTTACAATAAAATTTGTAATTCAATTCTATCTTGCCTAGATGAAGGTGCTTTCTCAAAACAAAAATGCAATACAGTTTCAGTTTCGTTTGAGACATTTATTTTTTAATTAAAACTTCCGATATCTAGACCGAAAGATAAATTTCAGTGTTTGAAAAGCAGAGATACCTATTCAAACACATGTACCTACTTATATATAAAGTTTATATGAATAAGGAGTTCACAGGCCTGAACAAAAAGATACAGATATTACCACAGATACGCTTGGACACACATGTTCACGTGAACATACACACAAATTAATATATTACTCTTGTGAAACAAAAGTTCTTACTGACCTCTTTTTAAACACAGATTGAATGCATAATAGAAAACCGGTTACCGTTTAAAAAGAAAGTAAAAATGGTGGATACACTGAGAATCAGAGGATGTGTGTGTGTCTATATAACAGGTATAC